CCAGTCCCCAGAGGTGACCAGTCCCCAGAGGTGACCAGTCCCCAGAGATGACCAGTCCCCAGAGGTGACCAGTCCCCAGAGATGACCAGTCCTCAGAGCCTGTTGTGTGACCGAACCAACCCAGGATGTCAAGTTCGGTCAGTGTGAAGAACATTCAAGAACCAGGTGTTGCTTGTTGAGTGGGGAACCCATCGTCAAACCAAGTGTTAAAGGGTTCCACATGTCCTCGGCAGGTTGAGTTCACCATCTGTTCGGTATTCGATATTCGGGTCTTCCTTTCGGGGCCATGCCATACACTTCCATGATGATTTCAGTTGGTGGGTACCTCCCAAAATGCCTGGCATTGCCTGGCATGTGAAGGAAACGGCTCTTTTTAGACAAAGGACCATGTTCAGGTGCTGCTTTAAGATGACATAAGATGACATATGATGCTATTATCGGCATCGTTGTAAACAAACAAGAACGACAGAACGACGAACGAGTTGTTTGTGCTGATGTTTGTGCTTGCCTTGTGACATTTCTAATATCAAGATTCGGGTTGACTTGCTATAGCCTTCGATCTTGATGGCCTCTACAAGCATCTACAAGCACAAAGGGCTCGAACACATGTTGAGCCGTTTCCCGCTGTGTTCGCTACTTTGGGAGGCTTCTAAAAGTTGGCAGTTGGATTATCATCTCTGCCAGGCCCTACCCTTTGCTGAAGGGGGGCATCAAGAATTGCAAGTTACCATTTTCCTATGATTTCCTCTGTATTGGTCCCCCCTCTCGGAACCATGCCCAAACCGGTGGATACTGAATATCCTCCTACTCCTAAGTCAATCAGGAGCCAATCACCAGTCCGCAGGCTGGGCATCGGGCATAGGACTGAGCCATGCTTTTTCCCTCCAACCTCAGGGGATGAAAACAACTTGATAAGCTGCCACACTGGACTACATCTGGAGTCGAAAAGATCCATGCAGTACAAAAACCCAAACACAACCCATGGGACTGCCATATATGCCTAATTACATTGGGGTAGGCATATATGGCATGCATGGAGTGTCTGGGAAATAGGACTATAATTACATCTAATTAATTGCTTGTGATGTGATACTTTCTGTAAATAACAAAGTAAAAACAGGTAGCTTTGGCGGCCCAACTCCGCCAAACTCAGCTGCTACCACGGACGAAAAACATCACCCGTCAAGTGTTGGCGGCGTGTTGAGAAACCTCTGCGCATTGGAGCTGGACACCAGGACACCCTAAGGAGATCTAAGGAGTGCTAATTGGTGACCTCTTAGAGGTAAAAATCATTGGTGACCCGGTGACCCCTTAGGATTTTGAGTTGTTTCATGGGTTTTCAGTTTTTTCTTCAAGTTCTTTGAGGGCCCATGCATCTGCGGCGGCGCTCTGCGCACGGCGCAAAGTGGGGCCGTCTTATAGGAGACGCCATATTGTTGAAACGCCCCTCCCTCGAAAGCAACATAGAAGAGCTTTGCCTTCCAAAGGGGCCTGGCTGCCCCCTGAAACCCATCTTCATGCATCGTGGAAGGCCGTCTCTTTCACCCTTCGATCTATATGCGCGGCCGGTGTTTCGCCGGCCGGTTCAGGCGAAGGAAGCGCCGCTGGCTCGACCTTCTGAGGCCGGGGGGCAGTTCAACCTTCCAAAAGCCGTGGAGCACCTCGGAGCGGTTCCGGCTGGCGGCGGAGCGGAAGTGCAAGGCTTTGGTGGAACGAAGAGATCTTCTGGTGGGCTCAACTCCATCTGCAAGTACAGGTTGAACATGGAAATATCTGAAACCACGTACTCGCAAGTATGTCAACTTGCGACACTCGGCAAAGGGCTCTATACCCACGAGACTCGCGAAGACCGAAACCGACCGGTGCCATTTCAAACCAAAAACAACTAAAAGACCACGAGTCCGAGTCGCTTTGAAACCCTGATGACCACTTCTGTCACTATGTTAACATGTTAACATACCCAGCAAAATCGACAAAACAGACCACAACTGCCTGCCTGCCTCCTGTCAGGTGCCGGTGCTTTCCCCAGGTTTCTTCTTCACCATTTGTCCCAACCCCCCAAAACCCCCAACGACCGGAGAGCGCTTTGTCGGACTCCGCTTCCTTCGGTCCCCCGGCAGCTTTCCCCGACTCATCGGGAATGAACTCCGAGATCAAGCCTCTTGGGACGGGACGACCGAACCGATCAGGTGAAAGGGATCGCCAAAGGGGTCAGATCATCGGAGCTCATGGGAGCTCTGGAGTTGATCATACCATATCACACCCCCAACAAAACATGTAACCCCATACCCAGGCACCTACAGTCTACAGTCTCCCATGCGAAGGAAGGTATGTGGATCCATAGGGTAAAACAAAAACACACCACTCAATGTGGTAAAGGACCAGGTTTCTACCCGGCCAAACTGTAGTTTGTGTATGTTGTGTTCTTTCTGGCACCCGAAGGTTTCGGGTACTGGGGTCGACGCCAGGACCGATGGAAAAGGACCTAAGGACCGAGGGCTGTTGGAAGGAGCTCAATCAATACCCTAGGGATCCAGTCGTACCTTCTCAGGTACGGTGAGCAGGGAGACTATTGATGTAGGCGCCTGGGTCGAGCCAGAAGGTGCCAGTGGATCCCTAGGGATGCGTCCTGGAAGATGATTAACATGAAACCTGAAAACGATTAGCTTGTAGAGGAGAACTGTCTTCCAAACGTCCATGTTCAGGTTCCATATGGGTCTCTTCCCGGGTGTATTCGGTCAATGGATGGGTGGAGAAACAACCATGTTATCGTATGTCTCTTGTGCTGGGGAGGCATGCAGAATCAATCAGAAGTAGCTTGCAAATCTGAACCTTCTGGTGTACGTTTGACTCTGCAGCTTCTCTGCAGCTTCTCTGCAGTGCTCCATGCAAGGTCCACGCTTGCGCCGAGAACCCCGCTGGCCAGTGCACGCCCGTGGAAGCGTTGTACGTACCTGGCGAGTTTCGCCACAAGCTGAGGCATTTGTACAGAAAATGCATGTTGTTGGTATATGTATCGAAAAGGAAAAGATTGTCACCCAGCAAAATGAATGAAGTTTTGACAACATATCAACCAAATGCACACAACTGTGACTTGTCTTCTAACTCGAGCATGCACATTCATATTTGGTCTTGCTCTTGGTGTAGTCTATCATTGTTGCACTACTACTACTACTATACTATTACTACTACTACTACTACTACTACTCCTACTCCTACTCCTACTCCTACTCCTACTCCTGCTACTACTACTACT